ATAATCGACCAAATCATAGAATTTTAATAATTTCAAATCATAAAAAAATATATTCGATGGATGGCTGTAATTGTTTCTAGTAATAATTCTTAGCTCTTTTCTGTAAAATAAAAATAGGATTTGTGAAAGTTTTACAAGCTTTACCCCACACTTCAGTACAGAAAATTAAATATGGAACAATTATAGCGTTATACAACATAAGCAATGCTTTATCATTGAACAGTTCTCTTACTTCGTACAGTACTCCAACTGATCTGGCTATTTTTGTTCTTAAACCATTTATATGATTTTTTCCATGTCAGTTTTTAATCAATAATGACACCTAGAAACTTCACTTCACTGACTCTACAGATCTCTACATCATCAATTTTAAATGAAACATCTATAGTTCTCTTATTGTTACAGAAAATCATGTAATTTGTCTTATCCAAGTTTAATGATAATTTATTTAGTTGAAACCAGCTTTGTATTTTCACAAATTCTGTCTGTATTCATTTACCGTTCTATCCTTTGAGTGATTCATGCAAACAGCGACATGAGTAAGACAAAAAGGTTGGTGATCATCCTGAGAGCTTGTTTGTTTAGATGAAGTCACTGTAATAAATGATCCAAGGCATTAAACATCTTCAGTTTAATAAGTGGATCCACAGAGAGATCTGCACCTTCATTGTTCTTCCGAGGCTTCTTAGTGATTCATAATCTCATATTTTAATAATGTTTAAAGATGTTTTAATTGTTTCATAAGTGCTGTCTGTGTGAATCAATTTATTCTTGGATTTTGGTTAATTTGTTTCTGATAAAAAAGATGCTTGGCTTTTAGGCTTTTATTTTTGTGGGTTTTTCTTTATTAATGACTCATKTTTTGAGTTTCTCACACTCAGTTCTTTTTTTCCCTCGAGTATAAAGCTTTTTTACTTTAAAAGCATTTGAGTTTCTGAAGTTTGACACCAAATAAATGTATGTCTTTTTATCTGTGTCCTCTTTCCACCTTTAGTGAAGAAGAGTTTTCTGAAAAGCAAGAAGAGGAGCAGTTTCACTCTGCCTAAAGGAGGCATGGTCGAGCTACTGGTCAAAGGGGCCAAAAATCTGACAGCCGTCAAGTCTGGAGGCACTTCTGATCCTTTTGTGAAAGGGTGAGAAGCTCCTGTCAGGGGACAAAAGTTTAAGAGAAAGTGTTTTTGCTCAGATGTTGTAGCTAGTAGCATTTAATAATATTCACTCTAACTGAATTCAGACGCTATCATTTCAAAAACAATATTCAGTACTAACTTGTCATATTTTAGTCTAGAAATTTGTTCCTCTTTCAGATTTCTTCTTCGTAAAAAGGCATATAGTGAGACTCAGTCTGGTTCTCCATCACTCCATCCAGGCAATAAGCTTCCGTGAAAGAGACAAACCAGAAGAAACCATAACACGTTATAACGAGATAGTTATCTTTATATAACAAGATAGTTTTCTCATTTTTATAAGATAGTTTTCTCATTATGACGATATATTTTCTCGTTTTTACCAGATAGTTTTCTCGTTATAACGAGATCCAGTTTAAAAATAATTTCATGTCATGTGGCAGCTCTACGCTTCCGTAATATTTTGAGTTTCTCTTTGTTTTTATATTTTTATATTTTTTCTAATTACTAAGTTTAGTTTTAAAACTTAACTTTTATTTGTTCTTTTTTAATGTTTATTTTTGCTTGCTGTGTCCAAATAGACATGTGTAGGTCTGTGTCAAACGTTTGCTTAGTGTTGAATTTATTTGACATGTTTGTTTGTTTTTTTCTGTATTTAGTTTGCTTAACTTCTGACTTTCCAARATAAAAAAGTCACATTACATAAACACTTAAGTTAAAATACTTTTCCATTAATTGGTTTGCAAGAAAGCACAGTAAGATGGTAGTAAAATGAAGTTGTATACTTCCCCAATAGATACCTCCTCCCTGACAATAACAAATCAACCAAGCACAAAACGGCGGTGGAGCGGCGCACCGTGAACCCACAGTGGAACCACACCTTCACCTACTGTGGCCTGCAGCCAGGAGACCTGAACAACATCTGCCTGGAGCTGACCGTGTGGGACAAAGAGGCTTTGTCAAGCAACGTCTTCCTGGGAGGAGTCAGACTGGGAGCTGGCACAGGTAAGACAGAAGATTATAATAACTTGGGAAGATTAGATTATTTAAAAAAAGCATCTTTACTTATTTTTACCCACTTTAAAGGTCAATTTCAGGCACAGGATTGTTGATATAAATATTTAATAATGATTCTAATTAAATTCCCAGAGAGTTTGGTGCTTGTTGATATCTTCAGGGCTTTTGAGATGTCCTAACAAAGTCAAACAAATATGTCTCCTCTCTCTGCTCAAGGTAAAAGCTATGGAAACGAAGTGGACTGGATGGACTCGTACGGCGAGGAACAGCGGGTTTGGCAACGCATGATAGAAAACCCAGAGGTTCCTCAGGAGTGTACTTTGATGCTGCGGTCAAGCATGCGTAAGGGCAGCACATGAGTCAAATCGAAGCACAGTTAAAGGGGATCAAACAGAGGGAGATGGAAGTGGTCTGAAGTTATGAGATGAGAGCCGGAGAGGCCGAGAAGTAAGAAAACAACTCAAAAGCTCAAAGGACAASAGATCGTCTCTCTCCGAACTTTCTTTCATGTTCAGATCCCTTTTAGTTTCCACCACAGCCGGTCATGCCTTACTCACTCGTCCACATGTGCCCCTCTGCCCTGCTGACCAAGCTCTGCTGCTGTTTACAGCTGTCTATAGAAAACCCTTTGTTGTGTTTAACTGACTGGAACCTTTAAATAAGCACATGGTGACTCCTAACGTGTCCGTCCTTGTGTCATCTGTGAGCTGTTTCTGCATGTGATGGAGAACATATATCAGACATTAGATGAGACACAGATCAATATATATATAAGTAGAAACATTCCCTTTATAAATGTGATCTGAAGCACAGAATGATGCTAAAAAGCATCACCAGTGGAAAAAAACCTACTAGTTACTGCGTTACTGCTCAGTCTAAGATGTATTTTTAAAATAAATCTCCACACAAACACACCATAAGTTCACACAAACTGTTTCAATTAAATGTTTATGTCTATGCCTTCTCAAATAATTCTGTAGAAAAATAATGAATCACTAGTTTKAATTTCTTATATTCATCATTTTAAAAAGACTCCAATCAAAACCGTTCTGAATGTAAAAACACAAAGACTGAATTTTAAATGATCTTTTCTTTAAAGAGCTCTTATTTAGTCCAATACTTGATAAATTGTTTAAAAAAATTCCTGGAAACTTAATAAAATGGCCATCTCGTACCAGAACTGTACAGAGCTCAAGTTGTCCAAACCAACCAACTACAAAAATACAAACCTGTTTAATTTTCACAAATTAGAACAAAATAAATCAACAAATATAATACTATTTTAATTTCAAAACAACTGAAAGCATTGGGTTTTGACAAAAACCTGCAGATGTATCTGAGGAAACCCAACTCGACATTTGCTTTATGAGGAAACTGTTTTAATAAAATCATGTTGTTTGAGCATTCATATCACTCAAAATATGATATAATGTAACTTATATGGTAATTTTCTTGTGGTCAAAAATATGATTGTACAGCAAAAAACCTAAAAGTCTTTGAAAGCTTGAAGTGTCCTTTGTTTGTGCTAATTAGTTATTATTAGCATGCTAATATTATAGCAGAACTCTGAAACTTTCAAATCAACAGAGACYTGATGTCCACCATCCCTGATTTAAGTGTACAAACATCTCTAATAAAACTGTTAAATTAATATTTTCAAATATTTTTTATCCAGTTAAAATGTTGTTAGCTATTATTTTAAAATGAATGTTTTGGTGTTCCATGGCCCTTCTTGTGGTCCTGACCCCAACACTACGATCTACATAAAGTCAGCAATTTAAACTACATCATTTATGTCAATAGGATGCTGTATTTAAGATTTGGTAAGAAAATATTATTGCTATAACTAAATTAACCATTAATTTGTGTGTAAAATCAAGACGTGCCAGGGACCAAATACTATAAATAATGTAATCAATGAATAGCAGAGACAGAAAAATTCTAATGAGATTTTTGTCCCTTTCATAAATTAATGACACATATGTGTGTTGGTAAATTGTTTTAAGTTTGATGAGGTGCTTTATGTGCTTTAACATTTAAGAACATATTTGCTTTTGGGGAGCTCAGTTAGTGCCAGATGTCCAAATGAAAACAGAGATTGGGAAAACTCCATAAATGTCAAGTACAGATRGTCAAGATCATACAATTACACAGATTTTCCCCAGTTTTGCAAGTATATGGATGCATCAGGCAATCACAGTTTTTAAAAAAATGCAGCTTTGAGTTAGGTCTCAGAGCCTATAGAACTAAAAAAACTAAATAAATAAAAATAAAACAACAATAAATAAAATTATATACTCATCTCCCAACCTGCTTTGACACTATAAATAAGTTTGTCACATCTCACCGTCTACTTTCCCTGGTCCTCTGTGCTACAGGTGTGGTTATTTCCACCCCCTCTTTCTGTTTTTTCCAGACGCTCCACTTGTCGAATGCAAGTACGGTAATATGGATTTTTTGGTGAAAATTACAGATTGAGGGTCAAGATTCAGGTAAACATCTGAAGGGGTTGACATGTATGAAATTCATCCCTTTAGTTTACGAGTCATATTGTATGTACACTCTGAACATCTCTCTGTTTGAGAGTGGATTACATCCAAGGTTCTAGAGTGGTGGTCCTCAGAATTACTTTAGGCATTTTGATGTCTKGTATTTAAATAGCATGCGAGTTAATCATCAAAGGCTGGCCTGTGGTAAAAAGCTTAAAAGCAGAGTTGAAACAAAAGTGCAATAAAAATGATTTCAGATTCTTTGTAGAAACTGTAGAGGACAACCAGTGTGCTAATGGATACGTAATGCCAATAAKGTCTCTGTAGGGCCTGCTGATCAAYYTGCAAAAATTCAGTTGTCATGTGACAGAAGAACCAAGACCACAGTGTATGTGGTGCTGCTCTCCTTAATAAACACCTTTACTGCACCTTAAATCTTTGTTTACGTCAAATATTTATTGAGGTGTTTATTGTTATGAAAAGTTTGAGAAACCACTGTATTAAATCATAGCTTAAGAGTTTTGTGAAGTTGGAAAGTTGGACAAATTCTTACACCTAGAATCAATATTGTCTAAACTAACCATTGTTAAATTGCAAACTTCMGCTCCCCTTCAACAGCAAAGAAAAAAAAGTAGAAAATAGCGCAAAGTCTGATTATAAACAAAAGAACTCCAAGCTGAGTAAGTGCTTAGAAACCAACAARAAAGTAAAACAAGGAAATACATTTTCCACATTTATACACGTTCATGTTGAAATGGCTTTAACTGGAGAAAACAGGATGAATTATATTTGGAATGTTATAGCTAGATGTAGCAATTTGTAGGTTTTTCCTTAACGTTTTATTTTTTTTTTTCTTATCTGGTGTTGATAATTTCTGTTTGCAAATTTGAATCACCTGCTCTCAGCTGAAAGCACAGTACAGCACATCTGCACAGTAATTTTACTGTGTMGTTTATTTTAACAAGGGATTTATTTTGTTGTTGTTTTTTCTCTTACACCTGGCACTTGCAGGGCTCCATATTTCCCCCTCACGAGTTGACCAAATGAACAATCTGTGGCACAAAGTTTTTTCCCAGACTAGTAAATTTGGACTGGTTTTTCTGCATTTTTTGCCACCACACTGTTGCAGTATGTTAATAGAGAGTGCACGGTGACAGAGGTGGAAGAACAAAAGGTTACATGAAGCAGCTCTGATGCTGACATCACTTTACACCTAAAAGAGAGCGTGTGATTTTGCAGTGTGTTCTCAGGATCCGTGAGATGGGGCTGTGTGTTACAGAGTGAGTCAGCACTGAGATGAGCTGTCGTCACTCAGGAAGGGGGCTAATAATAATGAGCGAGTGACACTGACCTTGTCCTTGTCGCCCCGGGCTCTGTCATTATTGGTTCTGTGATGAATCACATTCCACAAAAATATTTCCAAATTTAAATCTTYTTCTTCTTTTCATGTAGGATGCCAGTTTGGTCTGCTTGTCCTCTTCAGACCACCTGCTCCGGACTGCCAGAGCAGATCGTCTCCCAGTTACAGCGGTAGTAATAATACACCCAATAATACACACTGTCACTGTCCAGTGTCAGAGATGCTTGCGCAATATCTCATTACAGAAGAATCTCAGATTGTTGAGCATGTTTTATCTGTATATTGTGTCTAGATTCAAAGTATCAAGATTCACTTTTTCCCCTGCTTATTTTCTCCCATATGTTCTACAGGAATATTTTGAAATAAATACATGTTTTCATAGACTGTACGCTGGTTTTGTTGTTTTTGAAGATGATATTAAATTCTTTCCAAATGAGCTTTGTGCATCAGTGTGTGATTTGTGTTTTTTTTTTAAATCCTCACGAAATAAAAATGTGCAAT